GAACTGATGCTTGTTTCCGCTGCCTCAGAAGGGTTTTTTCATGGTGGCCTTTGTCAGTGAGCCAGTGGATCTTGCAGTAACTCCCGCGTAGAATAGGGGTCTGACTAATCGGGTATTTTTATTTGTCCCGATACAATACTGCTGCGGATTACCCCCCCCCCCTTTTTTTGTTTTGTTCCAACTGTGGGCGAATATTGAGTTAATCCCCTTCCCGAGCAGCTGCAATACCTTCTGCCACCCTTAACCCCTAAACCATAGCAGACCTTGCTTGGCTTGTCTGAGTGCGACTGTCCAAACCCTAAAATGCGCCGCGATCTGAACTCTCCGAGACTAGTTTAGGGAGCCAGCATCTTAAGCTACAAGGCAGGCCAACAATTTGTTCCAGAAGTCTTAATTCGTTCATGTGCAAGGACGCTGGCCTGACTTTGAACGGCAGCCGCCAGTTTGGGTTTATCTGGGCTTGAGCAGACATAGACCTTAAAACCCAACCCCCAGCAAGTCGAAACCTTGGATCCAGAATAACTTACCTCAGGTTCAATCTTGTCGAATCCTGTCCCCTGACTTTCTGGGATAATTATGCGGGACTGATGCCAATGAGGTTTCGCTTGCCTTTGCTAAAGAACCAATAAAGGGCCATAAATGATGTGCACACTTTTTGGGGCTTCTTGATAATAGATGTAGTTTAATGGGGCCCACAACCCTATTCTAATTAGTTAAGGCCCCTGTATCACAGGAGCCGAGGAAAATCCGACAAACTCGAGCTGCAACTCCATTTCTGGAGGATGTCGGGCAGGTCGCGTCGCCAGTGTCCTTCCGATCCCAGTTTAGACTTGATGCTTACCAGCGATAACCACAGCAGGAAGGCAGCTCCTCCGTTTTGATTGTTCACGGTTTAGGACTTATCAGTTAGAAGCTGCCCCCACCCTGTAATAGTGACTATAAGGATTATATTAGGGCCCTATTATATTCCTATTATACCACTACTACAGGGTGGGGGCAGCTTCTAACTTATCAGTTCATTTCAGTTCAACATGTGCTGTATTGGTTTACGTAGATTTGCTTGAAAGTGGAAGGGTAGTAATCAGCAGCGCTGGTGCACCATAGTCATAGTGACAACCCTAAACCCTTCCCCAAACTGCCATAGCCCAAAGTTCCCCAGGCCCTGCGGGGTCATAAACATGAGCCCCACCCAACATGCCAGGGGCAACAGAGGCTTGCCTTGGCAAGGTACGTACCCAGAGGCTCCACAGTAGTTCCTCTTTGGGATTACCTCATAGGATTCTAAATATGAACCCCAAAAGGGATCTACTATGAGGCCTATGGGTAGACCTGTAAGCTGAAAACGCCACGAACCCCAAATCCTAAACCGAGGGCCCCCTGCAAGGGGGGAAAATAAGCCGAGGCCCCCATTAACTCCTGGTCCTGAAAAATTCCATGGATTTTTTACTGGTCTTGATTCGGTTTATGATTTAGGGCCTCGGCTCCATAATCAGAACAGATGTTTGGGGCAAGCGCAAGGTTAAACACAACATTGTATAGGGACCTGATGGGGTCATATCATCCATTAAGCAAGCCCACAGCCCCGATATGATATAACAGCGTTTTGGTTTTTAGGCCTTCGGTGTCAAGATTCAGGCTTTTAGAGTTGTAGCGCATCCGGCACCTTACTACAAGGAGTCCATCGACTTCAAAAAACTTCAATGCTGTGGAGCCCACAGTTTCCCCCCCCCGGACCACGGCACCTGAATTTGTAAGTTCCGAAACCTGATCCGAAAGGTTTGTTTAAAGTGGAACTGAAGGCCAAAGCAAGTGGGAGGCTCCCTTTGCTCATTGCTTGTCGGTAGATGCTAACTGCAACGACACGCCGGCAGCATTTGTCTTCGACACTTTGGGCTGAAGATCGGGTGCTCAGGTTTCTTACCTTTGGTTAGTAGGGAATGGAAGAATGGGGTACCATTATAACTACTATTACTCCCATTCTTCCATTCCCTACTAACCAAAGGTAAGGTTTAGGGTTTAGGGTCTGAGGCCTCAGATGTCGGTCAGATCTCGGGATGAGCTTGCAGGAAGTTTTCGTGGAGTGCCAATCCTGCTGGAGAGTAGTAACAGCTGCGTGTGCACCACGCTAGACCGGGCTTCTGCAACCTTAGTTCTCGATGAAATCGTTGGAAAAAGTGGTGTGACTCTGTCTGGCTCATCTGTATTATGGCTTGGGATTTAACAGCCTCTAGCTGAACGGTCCAGTGCCAGTCATTTCTGCTTGGAAGTTCCCCCCTGCTCTCCAAAGCTGCAGTTCCATTCTTTCGTCTCCGGCATTGCCCATAGGCTCCAAGGTTGTTCCTTTTGGGGGGGGTTCACATTTAGAGTCCTATAAGGTAATCCCGACAAGAATTACCATGGAGCCTCTGAGTATATACTATATTACTATATAATGTATGCTATATACTCTCTTGCGCGAACTGCGGGACTGCGAAACTTCTCTGCGCATGACTCGGATTCAGCACTGAGGAGTTTGAATAGAAATACGCTAAGTGCAAATCTCGCATATATGTGTAGCTATGGTGGGTTCAAAGCTTTGATCACAGCATTTCGTTTTGCTCCGATCTTGTTTTTGAAAGTAAGACTCCCGACGTGTCTTTGGTGCAACCTTATCACCAGCACTATGCCCTTTGTTCTTCTGTCTCACACACATCTCTAACATGTTGTATTACGCCAAGCAATCTTGTTGACATTCACTGGTTGTTCCGGTCGGAAAGCAGCTGTTCGCCTCGATGTACAATGGAGTATGACACGGCCTCGTAGCGACAGCAGCTTCAGCAGAAGCGACAACTAGTGCTAATATGACTCCTTACTTAGAGGATCATGGGACTTAGTTAGTAGGTTATTCTCGGAGTTATAAGTCCCCTAAGTGGAGTTATCCCAATTATAATCTACTTATAACCGTACTAAGTCCCATGAAAGTAGAATGATCGTCGTCGCTTCGTGGTAATATAGGGGCCTTGATTAGAAAAGGATTTTGGCGCCCGTGTACCATATTCATATAAAGGGAACCCCCAAAATAGCATAGGTAATTATTACGGCATATTACGGCCCCTAATTAAAATTAAATCCATATAATCGCTCTTATGGTAGCCTTCATCGACCTGTTTAGAGGATCCCCCTACTCGAAGAGTATATGCAACTAGGTTGGGTTTGGGAACATTTCTTATTTTCCTTATTTGGGTTCATAAGGGACCCTATGTATAAGTATTTTTCAGGGTGTTTAAAGGCCAACCCAGGTAATTATTAAGGTCGCTGTAGAAATCGTGGATGAACTGCGAGGTCTGGAGCTCCAGCGGCTGGGCGCTTTGGAGGGTCTCAGGCACAAGCAACGCGATGCGGGGTCTAAGGGTTCAGGGTGTTTAGGGTGGGTACCCGGCAGTCGCAATAGGCCTGGATGCAAAAAGGGTGTTTAGGGTCTATGGTGTTTTTAGGGTTTTGGATTTAGGGTTGTTAGGGTTACAGGGTTTAGGTCTTTTAGGGTCCGCCCTCAAGCCCAGTAGAGTCGCTGCAGACCGGATGCAAAAAAAGGTTTTAGGGTTTAAGGATTTAGGGTTTTTCTGATTTTCAGGGTTTGGGGTGTTCAAGGGTTTTTTTGGTTTAGGGTTTTTGTGGTTCTGGGTTTTTGGGCCTCGGGTTTCGGAAATTTTGGGCCCGGACTTGAAGACAACTTTCTAAGTCCTAAACACGCAACCCTTTGCGGGTGATTCTCTCGGATTTCGGACGGCACTCGATTGTAGAGTTCTTTGATTTCCTACCCAAAGGGTCCAAAGTACTGTTATGGGGGATACTTCCCCAAGTCATACTAGTAATTCCTAATATGGAAACCCTACATTCTACTATGAAGGTACTTTGGACCCTTTGGGCTAGGTGAAGCTTCGGCAGCCCACGCGGAAAATAATTGAAATGGTTTTGCCAGACGTGGCCTCTTTTCGACGCGTTTGCACTAAGTGCTTGGGATTTCTAGTGACAGTCCATGGGTTCATGTGTAGTATAGCGGCCTTGATAACCCTATTAAAAAATTAAGGCCCCTACATTAAGTCTGGTGTCGGGCCCCTTGCACTTCCGCAGCCCAAGAGGATGGCGCAGCAGCATCATGCAGCCTCCACAGGCAGAGGCCCCAGTCGAATAGCTTGGCATCAGTTGAAAAAGGTGCTGTTCTGGTACTGGCATGCTAGCCATGCTACTCTTCAACTGAACTGCGGCTATACCCAGAGGCTCCATAGTAGTTCGTTTTTGGGATTACCTTATAGGGTTCTAAGTATAAGCCCTAAAAGGGAACTATGGAGCCTATGGGTGGCTATAATCCGACAGACACCCTCACTTCAGGACTCAATGGCCCGACCGGGCGTCACGTCGCTTCCGAACAGTCTGACACAGAAAGATCTAAATCCATAGTGACCGGATCCCCATCCATCGATGACATCCACAACGACATGCACGTGACACGGCGAAACTGACAGAAAACCCTGAAGCTGGAACTGCTTTCGAAGTACAGGTTTTTAGGGCGAAAGGAGTTTCGATGTTCTGAGCGTGAACTTTGCTGAAGTCGGCAATCCAGAGCTTTGAGCTTTTGACTATGGGTTGAGCATCGAACACTCTGCAAGTTAGTTATGTTTGCAGGCAGTTCTACCACGGGCCCGCAACTATCAGCAATGAGGTGATGTTCTGCCGGCCATCTTTCGGACAATGCAAGTCCTGGAGGCCCAGGTATAGTTCAGTTGGCTGTGCCTCTCTCTCTGTCTCTCTATGTGTATATATATATACTATATACAGTTATATACAGATAGATAGATAGATAGATAGATATATGTCTGCGTATATATTACTCCTAGTGACCGGAGCGTTGCGCAGCTGAGCGTAGTGCACGCGCTTTTCTCAACCTGTTTTCGGCGTAGTGTTGCGGCTCGAGCCTCCCAGCTCGAGCGCTTTTGAGCGCAGCGTGCGCTGGATGGACAAGAATGCCGGGTCCCTGGTTGAGTGCCACTGGGGACCCTGAGGCCTGGGTGTCGCACAACCACCAGGTCGGCGACTACATCGAATTCGTCACCTATGACACCGCCAGGGCGAAGCAGGGCACGGTGTTGGCCCGGCTCGACTCACTCACTGAACGCGGGGCCCAAGGGCAATGGACGGAAGCCACCTTCCTCGCGGTGAGTGACGAGCACCTGGCGTGGTGGCTTTCAAAAGGACCAGGAGCCAATGACCATTGGCAATTTGAGGTCCACTTTTGCAAGGCAGCGGAGCGCGCCTGCAAGCAAACAAAAGGGGCAGGGCCCTTGACTTCCACACGGATAAGTTCAGGGTGATCCCGATTGGGGACCTGGCCGAGAAGAAGATCGAGTGGGTACGGAAGAGCCCACACCGGAAATACGTGGAGGAGGAAGTTCAGCGAATGGCTGGCGGCCTCCCCACGGGGAAGGATCAAGGAGCGGATGCAGCCCAAGGGCTAGGCTTCAAGGAGGCGGCAGGGCTGCCACCGGCCGACGCCACGGCAGAAGAGGATGCCCTAAAGGGGCTGTCACGGCTGGAAGCCGAGCTCGGTACGCCGAAGGGACACAGAAAGAAAAGAGAGAAAAAGGATAAAGCCTCAGGGGCAAGCGGGCCCCTCAAGAGGGAGACCTCCAAAGAGAGGGCAAAGAAGAAGAAGAAAAGAAGGAAGGAAGGAGAGACCGCCCACGGGCGAGCAACCTCAGCACCGGCCGGGGCACGAGGAGAGTGGTTCGGCCAAGCAGCTCCGGCGGATCCTCAGGACGGGAGTTCCTCCGACTCGACCCCAGCCACTTCCACGACTGAGGTGGCGAAGAAGAAGAAGAAAAAGAAGAGGGACAAGGACCGCGCGAGGTCAGCTCAGGACCGCGGACCCTTTGGTTCTGGCCACAAGGTCGACTACGGCGGCCTTGTTGGTGGCAGCGACTCCTCGGATGACAGCCAGGGTTTTCGCGACGGCCTCCCCTCCGGGAATGGAACCAGCCTCCAACTCCAGCTTCAGGAGTACTCCATCAAGAAGCCGGGGAGGTTGGCCGCCAGACTCCTGCAACGCATGCAGGCGATGGTGGCGAAGGAGGGGGGCCGTTATCGACGTCACCGGGGACGAGCCGAACGCCACCTGTAGCAACGAACTGTGTCTTGACGATCCTCGGGCCAAAGCAGCTGCAGATCCGCCTGATGAGGGAGATGAAGACCTTGGCCACAGCCCTCGACCAGATCGCGGCAGGCAGGGCCCACGCAGCAGCGGACACAATAGCTCAGAGGCTGAAGGCCTTGGAGCTGAGCCAGGCGGACGGCTCTTGGAACAGGGCACAGTTCCTGGAGCTGCTAGAGCCAGAAGGCCCGTCACTCCTAGAAAGGGACGAGGCAGTCTTAGCCTCCAAGGAGTGGGCCGGGGAGCTCCGCATGCGGAAGCTCCAAGGAGGAGGAAAGGGTCCCGGGAAACAGCCGCAGAAGGGCGACGAGAAGGGCGGCAAGGCCGACACGAAGGGCGGCAAGGACCCGAACAAGAAGGGCAAGACAGGGAAAGGAGCCAAAGAGGTCGCCCCGACGGAGTGAGCGACCCCGTGGTCAAGGAGGAGGTCCCAGACTATGACCCGAGCGACCCCGAGGACATGGAGCTGGAGGATACTCCCCAAGGGGAAGAGTTTGTGGGGATGGTTTTGGATGGAGTGTTGGACTTCGATCTGGGGGACCTGGGGGAAAGCGATGATGAAGGTCTCCCCACGAGGAAGGATGATCCGAGCTACTGGTCCAACATGTTCGACGGTCTCTCCATGAAGGATTGGCGCCAGAAGGTCAGGAACGTGCTGAACCGTAGGCCGCAGGTGGCGAGCCTCGGCAAGGTTTACATGGAGGCGATCCTCTCGCTGAACGGCACTTTTGCCCGTGTGCACTCGAATCCGGAAAGGCTGCCTCCGGGCGACGAGCCCAACCCTTCCGAGGGTCGACCTCCAGCGCAGGGGCAACATCACCAGGGAGAACGTCCATTGGGTCCGGGTGGTGGTCACGGTGCTGAACTACCTTTACTGCGCGGCTTGGGCAAAGCCGGTTTGTGTCCCTCTCCCAAGGACGCTGAGCAACGCCCAGATCGCGGTGGTCAACCGTGTGGCGGAACAGATCACCCGGCTGATCAGCCGCGGTGGCACCGTGGGACCGGCCCCTGAGTCGGTGAAGCGCCTGAAATCCAAAAAGTTTGACTACAATGGGCAGCCTATTGACCATATGCAGGATCTGGTGGCAGAGAAGGTCATCCCCGATCGGAACGGCTGCCGTGGTGAACTTGGAGGATTGCCTCCCTCCCGACTCCCGACCTCAAGGAGGCGATCCAGGACCCGACGGCCTACCTTCTTCCCGAGGCCGAACTTCCGACCAGACATCGGGGCTCCAGGGTGCGTGCCTCCGATGAGGAGTGGTACAAGATCGTTCGGGCCGGTTACGACCGAGGAATGTTCACAGCAGTCCGGGACGAAGACATTCCGGTAGACAAGCGAGGGCACCTCATCACCAATGGTGCCGCGGGTGTCCTGAAGACCAAGGTGAAGGACGGGAGGACAGTGGAACTGCAAAGGTTCATTTCTATACTGTGCCCCACCAACGACGCAATGAGGCTTCTCCCAGGGGCGCAGGACACCCTGCCGTACATCGGCCAGCTCACGGCCGTGATGGCAGAGAAGGACTCGTACCTGGTCTTGGACAGTGAGGACCTCCAGTCGGCCTTCAACCTCTTCAGGATGCCCCCTCGCTGGGCTGGCTTCTTCGCCTTTGCCAAGAAAGTCCGGGGGGATGCTCTGGGCCTTTCTCGGGATGTGGAGGTCCGGCCTGGACTCACTGTGGTCCCGATGGGCTGGACCTCGGCGGTCACCTTGATCCAGGCGGCGATCCGTTTCATTGCGTATGATATCGGGAAGGTGCCGAGCCTTAGGGGACGTGAGGAAGGACCGGCCGATTCCCGAATCTGACGCCCGAACGGTGCTCTACCTCGACAATTTTGACGAGCTGAGGCACCTAAAGAAGGAGATTGCCGAGGAGGAAGCCGGCACAGCATCGGACAAGGCATGCCTATGAGAAGGCCCGGGAGCTCCTGGATTTAGGCCTAGGGCTTCTCTCCATGGAGATGGCAGATGAGTTTTGTCTGAGGCACTGGACCGGGAAAGCCGCTTTTGCTGCGGCTTTCAAGCGGCCAATGTTTTCCATCTTGCAAGAAGTCTATTGTGTGATGGACTGGGCTCAGGATGGCACGCAGATTTCTCCGAGCGCTCCGGTCCTCGACGAGATCCTCTGCTTTAGTGTTCTCCTCCCCCTGGCGGAGACCGACCTGTCCTCTCCACTGTCGGAGGTGATCAGTTGTACTGACGCCTCCCCCACCGGTGGGGGCTGCTCAATTGCGACTGGCTTCAAGGACAAGTCGCTTTTGCTCCCTCTGCCCTTGGAGGACACCGGGAACTGCGCAGTCTGCCAACGGGCCCTTGATATGCCAGACCGCCGGAAGTACCCGTGCCCACGCCAATGTGGCCTGAAGCTCTGCTCCCTCAGGTGTTCCAGAGGCCATGGCCAGGGCTGCTGCCGGAAGTGGTGGCACGCGCCGAGGTTCGGGGAGCGTTTCTCAGGAAAGGACTTTCCTCTCTCCAAGGCTGCGGGCCTCAAGGGCATAGAGACGCAGGAGCCGCTGGACTATGAGGTTCCCGGTGACCGCTGGGATTTCAAGACCGACTTTGGAGAAGCCCGCCTTGATGAGGAGGAGGATGATGGGGATCTCATGTGGACCCATTGGGCACCGGACAGGTACACCTTCTCCCGGACTAGGGGCCGCGGTTTCTGGAATGACCAACACCAGTGGGACCACGGCCTCCCCGCACTCCGTTCCAGGCGGTTTCCGGAAGGCCTCTCGCAACTTCGGCGGCAGGACAATGTGGCGGTCAGACAAGGCAACGCCATGGCCAAGCGGGCGGTGAATGGACTGCTCCAAGCACATCGCCGAGGCCGCTTTGCCTCGCTGGAGCATCCCTTCGATTCCTACCTTTGGGATATCCCAGAAGTCAAGCCCCTCTACGGAGGAGAATGGTTTTGGTCCACTTTTGCTCTCTGCTGCCACGGCGGGGACAGAGAGGAATGGCTGACAGTGGTGCACAACTCCGCATCGCTACACGCGGTCCTTCACAAGCCTCAGTGTGATGGACACCAAGAAGCGGTTGTGCCTTCCTCTCACGTGGACCCAGAGAACAATGACGAGTACCCATGGCTCTTCTGCCTCGTCTTCATGGAGGGGGTGCACGATGAGCTGTCCCAACTCTACACGGTCCCCTTTGGGAACAAGGCGGAGACCCTCGAGTCCCTCATGCACCACCAGCTGAAGGGAGCAACGCGAGGTCTCCAAGACGCCACTGCTGTGGACTGGGCTGTCACACAGTGCGTCAAGTTCCTGGACAGTATGGATACAGGGCAGGAGGCGCAGCACTTTGCTTGGCTGCTCCGACACACATACCATACGGGTTGTGATGTCAGGTTGACGGACCGGGGCAATGACGTGGTCGGAAGCCGTCCCGGTCCCTACCCTGCTTTCCGATGGCTGTGGCGAGATGTGCTTTCGTACAAGTGGAAGCAGCCACAGCACATCAATGTCCTCGAGCTCACGGCTTTCTTGGCTGAGCTCAGAAGACGGTCCAGGGACCAGGCGCAGCATGGCAGACGCTTTTTCTGCATTGTGGACTCCCTCGTCACCTTCTACGTGCTGGGGAAGGGACGGAGCTCCTCCAAGCGGTTAAACCGCATCTGCCGCAGAGTCACCGCAATCTCCTTGGCAACTGGCTTGATACCCATCTCCTTGTGGACAATCAGCAAGTGGAATTTCTCCGATGGTGCGTCGCGGAAATTTGAACCGTCCTGATCATCTACGCTTTTTGGGTATCACAGCCAAGACAAGGAAATCCTATGAAAATGCGGTGCAAGCCTTCTTTCAGTATATTCGCGCCCTACGGGGCAGGTTACCACGCTCTATGTCTGAACTTGATGAGGAAGTTTCTGAATATATCAACCACCTGTACCAAGAAGGGGACAATGTCACGTGGGCAGGTTGGACTGTCAGTGGGCTTAAGCGTTTCTTCCCACGGTGCAGGCCTCACCTGTTGACCTCTCAACTGTTTCTTCGGAATTGGCACAGGGTTCACATGCCAAAACGGACCTCTCCCATTTCTTGGTTGGGGGCCAAGGCCATGGCCTCTGCAGCTGCTCAGCTCAAAAGGTTTGACCTTGCCTTGTTGGTCCTTTTGGGCTTCGCTTTCTTTCTGCGGACCATGGAGCTGGTGAACCTCAGCACAACTCATGTGCGCCTTTTTCCAGAAGAAGGAACAGTGGTGGTGGCAATCCTGGGGGCCAAAACGTCAAAAGGCCTTCAACAGTCCCTGTCCCTTCGCGACCCCTCGTTGGTACGAGTTCTGAAATTTCTTTTGGACCGGGTACGCCCGAGTGATCTTATATACTCCAAATCGGTCTCTACCTTTCGGTTGGAATTTTCTTCTTTGGTCACAGCTATTGGCCTTGATCCGGCCGACTATTTGCCATACTGCCTTCGCAGGGGTGGTGCTACTTGGTTTTACCAGCAGCACGGCCTGGGCCGCACAGTCATACAAGGTCGGTGGAAGGACCAAAACACAGCACGCATCTATGTGGACGATGCTAGAGCCACCCTCATTCAACTTCTTCTTCCCGCCCGCACAACCGCCCTTCAGGCCTACCTGGCCTCTTTTTGGCGAGTGGCTTCGCCAGGGGGCTAGCCCAATCTCGGGGCAAGTTGGCGATTGGGGGAGTTGCCGTGATGTACTCAGGGTGGTCTACTGAGGCCAAATGTGCCAGAGGATCCTCCTACGGGAGAGACGTCTACGGACGAGACTTGGGCCTTGTATCTTAGCTGAGCGTTGAGCTCAGCCTTTTGGTGTGGATTAGGTGTTTCACGCCAACTCTGATGCCTCCCAGCCTTTCCGGAGGAAAAGACGGAGCTTCCTTCTTTCGGTTGAGAATACTCCTAGTGACCGGAGCGTTGCGCAGCTGAGCGTAGTGCACGCGCTTTTCTCAACCTGTTTTCGGCGTAGTGTTGCGGCTCGCCACCGCGGCCCCTCCTCCTCCCAGGCCAAATGTGCCAGAGGATCCTCCTACGGGAGAGACGTCTACGGACGAGACTTGGGCCTTGTATCTTAGCTGAGCGTTGAGCTCAGCCTTTTGGTGTGGATTAGGTGTTTCACGCCAACTCTGATGCCTCCCAGCCTTTCCGGAGGAAAAGACGGAGCTTCCTTCTTTCGGTTGAGAAATATATATATATATATATATATATATATATATATATATGTAAAGACTGCAAGGGATCTGAAAGGTGTGGGGTATCGTGTTTTCAGGAGTCGACAGGGCTCAGGTTACAGCTGTCACGTGCCCGTACCACCTCAGAAGTCGCGGCGTGCTGGCCCATAGCCACGGGATCAAGCAGCCAGCAGCTTCAAGTATCTGCTGCGGAGGCAGTTCCGATATTCGCGGGTTGGATTTCGGTCTCGGCTTGGGCAGGAGATGAGCACCAAAATCAAAAATAGTTCTTCTTCTCGGCGCGTGCATGCATGCCTGCATGCGTGCACACATGGAGTGGCAGGTCTTGCAGGCCGGAGTTTGGAGATACGAAGTGAAAGCACATGCTGCAAGTTCCGGTGTTCTGGGCCTTGGAGGTGCTTCTAGTAGTTGGATCAAGCGCACACAAGCAGACACTGGTACAGGCATGGGCAGCAGCGCAAGTCGAGAAGGCAACCAGTTTCACCGAGACCAACGGCTCAAAACGGAACCTTGCGTTTCGGGAAGCATGGGGACATGTTTCAAATCGTCATGGAGAAGTTGACACGAATGCACATGAAAGCCCACAGTCTAAACAGGGTTTAATCTACATGGGAGTTTCCAAAAACAGGGGACCCCAATGTAGTACCCTATATAGTAGGATCATTATTATGAGGAGCCCAAAATAAGGTACCCCTAATTTTCGGAAACTCCCACATCGGAAACCCAGGCCGCTCTTGCCTACCGCGTTCGAGTTGCGAGATTCGAAATCTGAAGTACCCTAAACCCCTAAACCTGGATTGTCCGAGTGCGAGCGCCGAAACCCTAGACCCCAAAACCTTAAACCCTTAAACCCTAAAATCCTAAACCCTAAACCCCAACAGCCTAAAGCCTAAACCGTTGTCGTAGAGCCCATAGATCGCTACTAGAACCGTTGTCAATCCCTGTCTCGAAGCTCAATGAACGACTCTTGGCACCAATTCCTAATCCCTAAGCTCCTTTGAATGAAGCAGTCTCAGTATCCTTGGGTGCAGTCGAGATGATTTCGCACACACAGATCAATCACACCATGCCCAGGCTATCCCGGCCTTACATCGCTTAGGCCCGCTAGCTATACCCCACTGCCCCTGTGTGATCTGCCGATTGTAGTCCTCATGGTTCCGTAGATCGTGACCTACTCGATGGTAAGATGCGGATCTTGAGAGGGGAGTGCTGTGTTGTAAGCTTTTCTAGACGGCTTTCTGACATACTCCTAACCAGTGCAGTCTCACACAACAGACCTCGAACCACATGCCTCGCCTGGATTGTCCGAGTGCGAGCGCCGCAACCTTAAACCATACTGTCTTATCAGTCCCAAAAAGAACCGCTATAATTGCCCAGAGAGCCCAATACCCCTTAATTAAGGAATGTTCCTTAAAGCATATTAGGGATCGTACTATAATTTAAGGTAGATTCCTTAATTAAGGGGTATATTGGGCTCTCTGGGTGACAAAAACTCCACAGACAAACCAGGGCTGGCCGGCATGGCGCTGGCACTTGGCGGGCACACCCCCTCGACCATCCCACAGCCCAAGGTCGATGGACAGAGTTTGCAGCTTTAGGGTTTAGGGCATAGGGTTTAGGGCTTAGGGTTTAGGATTTAAGGCTTAGGGTTAAGGGTTTAGGATTGAGTTTCTTTTGTATGGCACGGTGTAGGGTTTAGGGTGGGTTTCGGGTCATAGGGTTATCGTATGGGTTGGCTCATTGGGTTCAGGGTTCTTAAGAAAACAAGGAGGCTTTGTTCATGTTTAGGGTGGGTGCTGTTAAAGGTCTTATAGAGTGACTGTTTGGATCTATTTGAAAGTTTGGTGAGAATTGATGTTTCTGGAGGAGTTGAGGTCGACTTATACAGGGCTTAGACCAGAAACTAGAAGGTGTTAGGGAAAGTGCAGTCCTCGAAGAGTGCTTGCTTCTTTTTGGCTGGACTCGTGTGCCTGTTTGCACCGCTCGCACCTTTGCTCCAACGAACTGACCAAATAGCTGCCCTTGAGTTCGATGGGTTTTTCACTGAGGCTGGGCTGGTGGATTGACATGTCGGCAGAAGATTGCCATTTACACCTTATAAGTCTTAAGTGCGATGCATGCACTCACACTTACAAGTCGAAACACCGTCCCACATTGACACCGTTGTTGTTTGCACGGGACTTTGCACCTCCCGTTCTATCCTACATCTTAAGCAGTCGATGCCACTGGATTCACGTCCGTGCGGTGAGAAGGCCACAGGAAGAGTGTACGGAGTCGAAGTCAACTATCTGCTTTCGTGTGGTATGTTAGAAGCTCCCCATGGGAGTTTCGGTTTTGCAGGGCCTGGCGGCCGATTGAGTCGCGCCGCACTCGAGTGGAATACTGCCGTGAGACCGTTCTATGTTACACATCGGGTACATCGTTGCACAAATCTGCTGTGTTGTTGCTTATGCATTGTCTGTTCTGATCGGTTTGTGATGCTGGGCTCCATGAGTACAGATTCCGTAGAACTGTACGTTATGCTCCTTGCGGCTCTTTCTCAGAAACGGTGAGTGCGTCCATCCCAGAAGGTTTTAATCGTGCACTGTTGTTGTATATGGTCTTTACTGTTATGATGACTATTACTATTGTTCATCTCCTTCTTGTTTTTACGGTTGATGATATAAACCCTAAGGCCCTAAGGAACATGCCATATTTCCCATGGTTTAAGGTAATGCATTTTTTATATCAACAACCCTATGGGGTACCGAAGCCACGGGTATGCCAGGCTGTGCGATTGGCTCCGAGAGAGCGATCGACTGGCAAGGGCACCCCTGCAGGATTCTTCCTGCTGCGCCTTGCCAGGATTTCTTGCTCGCGTAGGGTTTCGGATTTAGCGTCAGAGAGAGAGAGAGAGAGAGAGAGAGAGAGAGAGAAAGAGAGAAAGAGAGAAAGAGAGAAAGAGAGAGGGTTAGTTTTTGCAAAAGTTGTTTCAAAAAGGGTTAAGGCTTAAGGGTTTAGGGTTTAGGGTGTCCTAACGAGGTCCTGAACCCAATCTGCAAGCCCTACATGCCCCAAACTGTCCCAAAATTACACTGGTTTTGAGTGTTTGGCTTGAACTTGGGGTGGGGGGAAGCGCGGCTTGCAAATCTAGGATTGTGGATCCAGCGCTTGCCTTCAGTATTCTACAGCCCTACAACCAAACATGTAGTCGCTGAACGACTTCGTGGGACTGGATGCAGTTCCGCGAGCCAGACGTCATGTTCCAATGTATCCGTAACCCTGAATATTTGGCCCGAAACCAAGAAACAGCTAGACTGGCCGAAACCCTAAAACCACTTTGCAGGGGTTTGAAGAAGTAGTTCTAACTATTATCACCTTATAGTCTTGATCATTAAACTATACCATAACGTGCTGCCAAACCTTCGTTAAAGTCCTGATGCAGAACATGTAATAATCTACAGAAGTTAGGAGCATCTCTGGGTTTCTGCAATCCACTGCATCATAAGGGCTTCAGATTCACGTTTACGCTCGAAACTCTGCTGCAGGCCGACTGGAGCCCTTGTCGCTCCCCACATGGGCAGAAGTGCCTCAACAAAAAAACTGGTCCTTCTCCTCTCGTCCCCTCCTTCTTCGTCTCTTTCGCTCCGCATTCGGCTCGTCTACCTTGAGGTTATACGTGCGAGGGGCTTGCATGTCAGGGTCGTTGGAGGATCCGATATAGACTTTTGGCGGTTTGAGAGTGCTGGTCGTGGGCGGCAGACGCGGGGGGTTTGTTGCTTTGGGTCGGAGAGGATTTCGTGATGTTGTTGGCCGCCGCGTGCCCGCGACTTCTGAGGATCCGGCATAGCAGCTTGAAATACTCCCGCCGACGGCATCGGTTTGTATGTGGTGCGACATGTGTCGTTCAAACGGCTCCGACAAACGAGTGACTGCAGCTTTGCTTGGACAAAGTAAGCAACGATCCATACATAGACAAACCTACATATATATATATATATGTTTATGTATCTATGTATGTATGTTTGTCTGTACATATGTACATACTTGATGTTTCCTCGTCCCGTCAACTACTGAAGCTTCGAGCAGTTCAGGTCTATTGCGGAGACGCCGCCTCACGGCTCGAGCTGGGGTCAAGGCTCCTCATGCCCTTAAGGTAAAGTATAAGGGATCCTAGCACTAATCCTCCTGAAGCCATGTTCCAACTTTCTGGCGAATGCTGTGTGAGGGTTTGGGATGGTTTAGGGTAGAAGCCAGAAAGTTGGAACATGGCTTTAGGAGGATGAGTGCTAGGATCCCTTATACTTTACCTTAAGGGCATGAGGAGTCTGATGTTCCAACTTTCTGGCTTCTACTATAGGGGTTTAGGGTTTAGAGGTTCGGGCTTAGGGGTTTAGAGGTTAGGTTTTCGGGGTTTAGGGTTTTAGGGTTTGGGGTTTGGGATTTAGTTGTTTAGGGTTTAGGGGTTGCGGGCTTCGGGAGGTCAAGGGGTAATGTCGCATGGGACATTCTCTCGTCTTGGAAATTTCGAAACTGTGGAAGTTCGCTTTCGCGCGACAGGGTGCTCTGAACTGTTCCCAGCTTACCTTCCTTTCCAGAATAAGTTGCAATAACCTATATAACCTTCGGTGAGTCTCATGTTATTCCTTGGCTGCAGCGGGACCCCCGACATGCACTCACACCACAAGCGTGTTGCAAGTAGTTCCCATGGTAACACTGCAGCCTGAAAACCCCAAAATCCAAAAGCCCACCGCTCTGGGCTTAACCCCCCTGCCTTGGATTTATATTCATGTCGAATATTGTATGATATTGCTGATTGCGTGCTGTTTTGTTGGCTTATAGTACATTATAGTATATGATAGCCAGTGTAGTATAGTTCCTGCAGTTCAGTTTGTGCAGGCTTGCGACGTCGCTGTGCCAACGAAGACGAGGCCGCACGAATTTTCAGACTGCCACCCTCAAGCAACAAGAGGGCATAAACACATGAAATACTTTGCTATAATTTCAGTTCAGTGGAGATGTCTGGTTCTTTGCCAGTGCGGCTCAAGCTGAGGGCTTCTAGAAGCTGCAGCATAATCCGCTATCCCAGCACCATGAATGAAACCTCGGCTACCCTAAACCCGACATCCCTAAACATGCCATCCTAAGTCGAATCCTTGCGCAGGCCGCCGCAGAGAGAGACGCCAGCTGTCCAACCGGAGAGCCCGCTGCAGAAGGCGGAAGTCACTTCAAGTTTGCCTCGACATCGTTTGCTCGAGGATTCAGGTTTGCGTTTTTGGTTACAGTTGTCACTTGTGTCCTTTCTGTGTGCTGATGTAGGGGTTCGGGAAGAGGTTTCGGTGAACTATCAATCGCCAACTCAGACCAGTGACTTGCACTCAGCCTGGCGTTTGCCAGCAGCGAGTCCTGTGGCTGGCTCTGCCAAGGTAATGCAGGGGCCTGAATAATTACCTAGACTATCTTTGGGGTTCCTTACTATACTTATAGTACAATGGGCCCCCAAACCGTATTCTAATGATTGAGGCCCCTACAGTAGAGAATCTGGGTTCAGCGATCAAGCCTCGGCCAGCACAGTGTTACGAGGAATGGTACATGTAAACCCTCAACATGGGAGTTAGGGGTACCAGCCGTCAACTGCAGCTACATCGGAAGTTTCGGGAATGGAAGGTAGTGAGGAACATCACACTTCGCGTGGTCCCTGGAAGCTGCGTCAAATTCAAGGACAGAGTCGGGAAACCTTGCAAGGGACTCCTCACATGCGGATTCTTGCAGGCATCAGCATACCAGTCTGCATCGAATGCACGGTCGCCGGCGCCAAGTTCCCGAAGGAAAGGCAAACGTTTCATCGATTGCGTAGATATTGCCACGAACTCAGTTGCCGCTAGCACGGGGCCATTGGTGATTTGGGCGTGATGGGTACGCTCTATTAAATTAAATGAGCATGGCAAAATTTACATGTGTTGGTTGGTGCTAGAATAATTAGAGTGCGAGCATGGCTAGCGAGAATGCATTGCAGCCACCGGGTCCTCTCCGCAAACAAGACATCGCCCACAATCATGCAACTCGTCAAGGCTTATGAGAAGCCTTGTAAACACTTTCTCACTCCAGAACCCACATCTGGAGAAAAACATGTTTGACTGCGGCCAGGGCAAAAATCACAGCACATAGTTAATTTGAGCTTGACCGGAAGATCATCACGCACCATCGTTCGTACCGATGCTGAGTTTTTCGATTGCTTCTGATAGCCGGTCGGCCATTGAGTAAAGCATGAGATAAGCTAAACCCTAAACCCTAAACAGCTTCAGAACTGTCCGGTCATGGCTTAGGATCCGACTGCCCGAGCCAGGTCCTGAAGCCACTGTACAGCGGCTTGAAGAAGCAGAATGCCTATCCACCTGTAGTTTTATGTAACTACACAGTCGGCCACAGTTCCCCTCGCTGCGTTGCTAGTTGAGAACAAAGCTGCAGTTCGAATCACATTATTCTGTGGCAGTTTGTGGTGAGGACTTCGAACAAGCAGCCTGAAAGGGAGGCTTGTGGATGAAATGTAGAAGCTATTTGGGAGTTTGGGACAATAGGGGCCCTTAATATAGTAGCCTAAACAGTAGGATCCTTATCATAAGGACCCATAAAACTCCCATTTATTGTGTGCAATGGACAAGGCGCCCCCTCCATCCACCGTAAAACAGCTCAGCTTTGGCAATGCTTTCTTTGGCCTTACGATCTTTAGCTGTGACTTGATTGGGCCTCAGGGTTGCGGGCTGTTCTCAGTATGAGGTCAACAAGCATATGAACAATAAGATGCCGGACGAGTTCTGCCGTGGTTCCTCGGTCGATGTTCGGACTTGCAGAGTTTATATTCTATTATACATATATATATATATATATATATATATATATATATATATATAATATATACATATATACATATATACATACATATATACATATATATATATATATATATACGTGCTCAGGGTCGAGCCAATAAACTCGTCAGCAGCAGATCTTGCGAACCGGACGGGAAGTCGGAAACAGAACCGCAAATGGTAAATCGAAACCTTCCAGACTGTTCAGATGAAAATGTGATGTAGGCCAGACCGGTCCTAATGAATCGAGATCGCTGTCTTCATGGTGTTATGCAAGACTCGCCATGCGGGAGCCAAAAAAAATGGTGTTATGCATGCTCATGACAAGCCTCGAGGTGTGTTCATTGAGTGCCGGTGTCGAAGTATGTCTGGTTCTGCGATGTTCTGATAAACCCCCATCCATCAATAATGATAATGATGTTGGTGTGAGGTGCTGCTCTGGTTGCTTCGGGACCTGCTGGGATCCGGGTGGGCCTAAAGCAGCAGAGGCGTGACCACCGGCTGGGCAAGCCTGGATCAGTTGTACAGACCCGTACGCGGCGAGGTCACAGTAGCCGCATGGATGCAAGGCTCGCGTATACTGAGCGACTATCCTAACCAAGCAGGGCGAAGCAGGACAATTCTAGCCCCACGGACCAGAACTATGAAGCAACAGCATCAGCTTGTAAGACAAAGCGTCGTCCAGGGTTTAGAGGTTGGTGTTTCGCGGTTTGGGGGGTCATGTATGCTAATGTTGGAACCAGCAGGCTGAAACACACTTCGCCGAGGGAGCGAGCAGGGAACCCGCAGGAGTGATTTGCTTGTTGTGATTGCATCTTTGCATTTATCTTCATGTTTTACGTACACAGACACACACACACACACATATATATATATATATATACTATTATTATTATTATTATTATTATTATTATTATTATTTTATTTTATTTTTTATTTTTATTTTTATTATTATCGGTATTACTATTATTATTGCTATTATTCATTCCCCGATATCTAAATCCAAGTCTTTATCTGCATCTTATGCTACTTGTATGCATGTACGCATGTACGTATACATGCTTTATGCATGCAGGTGTGCATGTATGTATGTATGTATGTATGTGGTTCATGTATGAGTATGTAGATGTATGTTGTGTATTAGTGTTTGTCGCGTGTGTGCGTGTGTGTCCATGCATGCATGGATGTATGTATGTATGTATGTATGTACGCATGTACGTATACATGCCTGCTGCGGCCCTCCCACCCGCGTCTCCGCCCGCAATGGTAGCTCCCCCCACTCTGAGGCACTAGACTTTGGTTCCCCCCACTGCGGAATGGTTGTGGTGTTGGCCTTCCCTCCGTTGGTCCGCCCCCCGTCCCCTCCGTGGAACGGCTTGGTGTTTGGGGGGTGGGGGGGGGAAGCAAAGCATAAGCATACGTAATTTAGTAAATACATTTGCATTTGTTTATGCATGTGTAATATATATATATATACATATATATATATATATATATATACATACATGCATACACACGCACGCACGCACGCACTCACGCACGCATTGGTTGCCATTTGCCTTGCCTGTGCCACCCTAGCCGGGAGCCCCAGATGGGGTTGGGCACGTGGAAGCAGGGTAAGGCCTGGATCGATTAGGGTACTTAGGTATACTTGGGTCAATGCATGCGGCCCAGATTATGTCAGGCTGGTTGGGGAGGTTTGCCGTTTCTGCACCTACGTGCAAGATACGTTCACTCTCTTCGTGTGGTACCGGTACTCGCAGGTACGGTCATGTGCAGAACCTGCTAGGCAGACCACGTCTGCCTTTGTCTTGTGTGCAGTGGTGGAAGTGTCAGAAGCGCTGAGGTGACTGGCACGCCTGGCAGCGGCAAGTCCGAGTTCCTGTTCTCATTGGCACTCAACCTGGCGTTGACCCACGGCTGGAGGCAACTCTTGTTCTTCTCTTCTGCTTCTTCTGGAAAGTGAAAATGATACTAGGTTAGAAAGGATGCCGATGATGGCACAGACGCGATCAGGATGCTGATGCTCATTCTAGTCTAGTGTTGATGGCGGGTGGGTGGGTGGGTGGGTGGGTGGGTGGGTGGGTTTGTGGTGGCGGTGGTGGTTTGTGGTGGCGGTGGTGGCGGTTGGTGGTGGCGGTGGTGGCGGTTGGTGGTGGCGATGGTGGCGGTTGGTGGTGGTGGTGGTGGTGGTGGTGGTGGTGGTGGTGGTGGTGGTGGTGGTGGTGGTGGTGGTGGTGGTGGTGGTGCAGCTGCTGCTGCTGCTGCTGCTGCTGCGGCTGCGGCTGCGGCTGCGGCTGCGGCTGCGGCTGCTGCTGTTGGCGACGGTGCATGATGGTGCTGTCAGGCAGGATGGTGGTCGGGCATGCTGCTGACGAAGCTGATGATCATGAGGAATCATGAGGATGAGATGAAGATATGGCTCATGATGAGTGTGACGGTGATTGTGGTAGTGATGATGATGAAGTTTGTGGCGATATCGTTGTTGGTGACGCTTGTGCTGACTATATTTCGTCTGCTGATGACTAGCCTTGACGGACGTTGAAGCCTGAGCTGACGATTTTTGTGTTCGGATTGGCTTTTTCGCTTTCTCTGCATGAATGTTTCTTCTCATGGGCAGTTGCACATATCGTCGTTAAACCCGGCAGACTTCGCAGCGCCAGTTCGACCAGTTGAATTCATGCCTGTTGATGGCAGTCCTGCGGCATTGGTTAAGCTCTTTGCCGGCTCCTACTTCCCAGCAATTCCGTCACCACGTTGTCGATCGCCCCCTTGTCACCCGACTGTCAACACATCACTGAAACGCTGGTTGAAGGTTCCACTGCGTGCCGTTCGAGCACAAGCACAAGGACTGGACATTCCAGCTGCTGGAGAAGCTCCAGGAGGTGACATCGTTGGGGTTTAGGGTTTCCGGGTTCAGGTTTTGGGCTGGGGGTTTCGGGCTTAGGGCCTAAAGCTTAGGGGCTTCGGGTCTTAAGGCGCAGATCCAATGCCACGAGGAAGGTCTTCGCGGCGCCTCGAACCGGAGTTAGCTAGTGTAATGTAGGCGTCGCAATGGGTAAGAACATAAAATACTTTATTCCTGATGTGTAGCTATATATATATATATATATATATACATACATATTTATATACAGATAACACATTACCTAACGGGTATAGGGTTCAGGGATACTATAGGGGCCCCTTCTTTCTATTATAAGCATAGTATAATTTTGTTTTGCAAAACCCTATTCCAGTTGGTAAGGTGCCTAAAGTATACAGACCTGATCGCGACCAACGGATGCCTTGGGACTACACTTCTGTCCCCCCTCCAGGCCGCTGAGGCGTCAACGACACGTCTCAATATTCGAAAACCCTGAACTTCTGAAACCCTAAACCCGAAACTCTTTAACAGATCAAGCATCAACTGCAGACAAAAACTCAAACACGAGAACCTGGCTGCCTCCGACTGCATCGTCGCCCCCAGGGAGCCATCAGAACGACCCGATGGCACCCTAAACTTATGTAAAACCTGAGGTCCTGAGAACCCTCAACCTGAAAGCCCTGACCCTGCATTAAAACAAAAACCTAACCCTGCACTAAAAAAACCTAACCCTAAACTAAACCAAAACCCTAACCCTACACTCAAAACAAAACCTCACCCTAAACTAAACCAAATACCCCAAAACCCTAAACCCTTAAACCCTAACCCTGCGTCCGATAATTCGGCCTCAAGGATGCTCCGGGGGGGTTCCTCCTTTTCACGTCATCCCGCGGATAAAGGGCTGGTGAATCCAGTGTCATTGTCGTGTATGCAGCATGGGTCTGCGAGTAGTTAGCTTCCAGTACTAAATTCCTCCTATACCGACGCCTTAATGCCAAAATACCCCAAGATCTCATTCTAATTACAATGATTAAGGCCTTTTTGAAATTACAAAACACTACTGAGTTTCACAAGGCACAGGCCTGTTTTGGTGACCCCCCGACACAATGCATACCACATGCCTGCTGTTGGTGTTGGGCTGCGCTGCGCTTGGCCAGTCGATCCCCGACGCAGCAGTGAGAAACGATTCGGAGATTGAACCACAGTCTGAAGGACCGGGACTTGCACCCTACTTAGAGGATCATGGGACTTAGTAAGTAGGTTATAACTGGGGTTATAAGTCCCCTAAGTGGGGTTATCCTAATTATAACCTACTTATAACCTTACTTACTAAGTCCCATGAGCCTTCAAGTAGCCTGATAAAGGTTGAGTACAAATGCTACCATGACAGTTACAAGGGTTTGAAGAGTTCCTGTAAGATACTTCACGAGATATGTAGGGTTGCTTGAATAAGGGTTACTATAAGCAAAGGTTGGTCTCTGAACCTGAAGGTGCTTGCGACGGTGGTGTACTTCGCCTTTCGCCTCGCCGATATGACGAACGTCTCACATTTCGATCGGATTGTCTCGTTGTTGGCGTCCCGGGCACCTTCGGGTACTTGGAACCTTTTCTTTGTCATTTATAATTCGGGTTGCTACAATCCCGACGGAACACCTGAAAATACAGTATTAATTTTCGTGCCAAACTCAGTACATTTCAGTGCAGGCACAATAATTGCTGCTCCGTTGTTTTTCTCGGAGAGTGGCTCGTTGAACGGCACGCTGGTCTTCGACCATGGTGACTTTGCATGGAATGAGTCCTGTGTCGTGGCAGCAGCAACACTGACTATTTTGGGCAATGTGGCCTTTCGGAATTGCCATTCAACGTCGACGGGCGGCGCTATCAGCACAGTGAGACCTCGATTGGCCGGCCATGGGCAAGTTACTCAAGTCTCCGGGTGGCTCCATTTTGAGAACTGCAGCGCCAAGCTTAATGGTGGTGCTATTGCAGCTTGGAATGTGGAGTTGCGCGGGCAGTACGTCAGTTTTACAAACTGCAGATCAGACATGGCCCGTGGCGGAGCCATCTATGCTGAAGTCAATGTGCATGTCACGGCTCAGTATGCGACCTTCCAGGACTGTGAAGCCGGGTCGGGTGCGGCAATCTGGTCTGATGCTAGCTTGGAGTTGAACGGCCGGGCCATGATCTTCGAGAACTGCGACTGCAGTCGGAGCCTTAAACAAAGAAGCACTGCTGTGGTGAGAGCCGGGTTCCGGCAGTCCATGAAACTGATGAACACTACGATTTCGAGGTCCGTGTGCGATTTTGGGATCGATGCGAGTGGAAGTGACTCTCTGCTGATTCAACGGTGCATGTTTTCCTGGCTGCGCGTGGGAGCCATCATTGCAGACTTCGCTGTGGATGTCAGCATTGAACACGCAAGCTCAGAACACGTAGTGAGGTTCCTGAAAGCCCGCAGTGTGCAGAGAGTGCGGCTTCAAAGCGTGCATGTCCTTTGCACGCCCCTTACTGGAACTCGGTGCATAGACTTGGACTTCTGGACGGACAGGGCAGAAATCCAGTTTGACGACATTCAACTCCACCATAGAATTTCTACCAACTTGGGTGGGGATTCCGTACTCTTGCATTTTCCCGTTGATGCCATGTGGCTGCCCGGGTCAGCCAGTCCACTGGGTTTGACCTGCTACCCCGGGTCCTATCCAGAATTCAGCCTCACTGACGAAGACCATTGGGAAGCTGGGTTCTTGTTGAGGAACTTGGTTTAAGATACCACAAGAGGGATCTATCTATAGTAAATGGTAATATGGTTTCCTGATTATGGTAACTTGAATTAAGTTCCTTAACAAGAGCCCAGGAAGTGAAGACGGTGCCGAGTCGGACCAGTATGGACTGCTCAAGACTTGTCCCTACTGGCTGCTGCATGATCTTGCATGGTCCTGGGCATCTCCTAAACAACTCGGTGCACAAGGTTGACCATGCATGTACCACGTCCTGGCCTTGTCTTTGTCTGGACCCATTCTGCAACTCTTGTACAGTCCGAAGCCACATGAGGGTCTTTCGGGCCACCTGCTCCCCCTGTGAATATGGGACTGTATCGCCCGGCTTCGTCTATTTCCCGCTGGTGTTCAACAATATTGCCATGGGCGCGAGGCCTTATGAAAAATGGATGAAGAATTTCTGCCTCGACTGCACCACTCTGGCAGAGTCTGTCGACGCGCTGATTGCATGCGGGAGGGGCAAAATGGAGGTACCACGAGGTGTCATGGTAACTGTGCACTCTCAGGAGGAATATGGCCGGCAGCAGATGCTTGCTTGGCGTTGTCCGAACCCATCCGCCTGCCCCGGGCGGAATCATCTTATGGGAGGGACGCCCCTGGAGGACCAATGCTCTCCGGGCTATGCAGAGGGTATCTTTGTCATAGTTGGGTAACATTTTTAGATTGTCATCGGTACTTAAACCCAATAAGGAGTTTCAATTTGAGTTTTTAATCCTATCCCATCCATGAACTAGGTATTGCTGGCTGCGTATCATGTGAAAGTGGCTACGGTCGGAAGATCAACGACCCGTTTGTTTGTCAGCCGTGCCCGCCTCAAGGATTTCAGTGGATACTGCTGTCCTTGAAGCATGTCGGTCTCTTCGGCATCGGAATGATGTCTGCGCAAAGAGCTCGACGGCGGACGAGTGTAATCTTCAAGATCATGGTATCCTTTGGGACGGCTTCTTGCATGTCCAGTTTCGTAAGCCGTGGTAGGGGAGGCGTAAGGTTTCTATAGATGTTTCAGGGGTTGCAATGAAGGTTATAGGTAGCGGTTATACTTACTCCACTAAGGCTTGCAACTGCGTCCTCCAAGCGGTCTCGGGTCTGCAAGAGTACCACTCGGCGAAGGTATCCTTGCGAAGCTATATCGGCCTCACAGAGGCCGCGACTTCGGCGACAAGTTTGTACAATCAGAGCTACGAGTGTCTTTTCAACACTCGGACTTTTAGCTTCTACGACTTGGCCATAATCGAAGTGTCCCCGCCTCTCCTGCTGCTGCTGTCTTGCTGGATCTTGACTTGGGTCGCAAGCCGCTGTGGCTTTTGCCATCGAGAGGTTCTCATGATACAGGGCACCCTCGTCCTCGGCAATACCTACATGGCGAACCTTTGTGCCGGCTTCATGAAGCCACTCTCATGCTTCCAGATGAACACACCTTTCCAGGGCGGCAAGCCGCTACGGCACAACTCTTTCTTTTTTCGGGAGCAGTGCCGCCCCTTGCATGGGCAAGCGATTGCTGGCGTTGGCGTTTTCATCTGCATCCTGATCGTGCCCGTGTACTGGCTGGAAATGATTCGAAGGTCACATGACTGGCATTCTGCATCGCGAAGAAAGATAATGGGCTTTCTGGTATCACACTACAGGCCTGGAGTAGAATGGTGGGAACTGGTTCCGTTGCTTCGGAAGGTGTTGTTGCTCCAAGTGAGGGTCTTCTCGCCACCAAGCTATGCGGCCTCGACCAACCTCACCCTAACGCTGGCTGTCCTGGTAACCAGCCTCTTGCTACACTCCGTCGTGTGGCCCTACGAGGACGCCTACCTGAACCGCATTGAGGGCGCGGCCCTGGCGGCCAGTGTGACGGCGCTGCTGCTAGCCAGCTTGGCGGTGGCCCAAGAGTGGGACAAGAACGAAGCCTTGACGTTGCGATATTTGATGTCCTTGTGCATCGTGCTGGTGATCGGCACGATGATCCTGATGGTGCTGCTGATAAGATCGCTTGTGGAGCAGGTGCAAAACAGCAGGCGTCGGAGGGATCTAGCATTGGCGGTGGAGATGGAAAATTGCAATTCAGGGACCGGCTTCTCTGACTTGTCCACTTTGACAGAGATGCAGCGTCGCGATTTGTAAATCCAGTCCCTGAACGCAGTCATCGACTGCATCACGCAAAGCAAGTGAGGCAGAGCTTCGCCAATATCCTGGCATGCGGCACTTGAACTTGAACAAAGCCGATTAAGCTGGTCGTCATGCCCAATTTCCACATCGACAACCTGGATTGTGATCTCAACTTGCGTATGTGGGAACGTCGGCATGTACGTCGTTAACGCAGCGAGAGCCGGAGCGATCGATGTCGCTTGAAAGGTATTCTGACAGACTGTGGCTGATGTAATATGAGGGCCTTAGTAATAATTACCTACTGTTTCGGGGGGGCTCCTTATCAGAATCTTACACTATACTGAGCCCCAAAACCCTATTCTAATTATTAAGGCCTATATATTGTGGACTGAGTCAACCAGCTTGTGCTCACGCGGATGGCTTCAAAATGCAACTCCCTAAAAGTTTGGAAGATCAGGACTCGTCCCCAGAGACTCCAATATCCCTTAATTAAGTTTTGTTCCTTCTGACCCAAATTTTGCAGAAGCCGGCCTGCCGCTCTAGCGTCTGTACTACACGCCCCCTGTGGCACGTGTGCCGTAGTCATGTATGTACTTTACACACACACACATCTATATATATGTATATATAGACACACACACATATATATATATATATATATATGAGTATGTTACAAACATGAGTTTCTCTATATCTATATATATATATGTATGTATATATATATATGTATGTATGTATATATATATATATATATGTATATATATATATATATATATGCATACATATACACATACATATACATGTACATATACATATACATATATACATATACATATATATATATATATATATATATATATATTATGTATATTTATATATATATATATATATATATATATTATGATGCACTGCGCCTTTTTCTGTACTCGTATCACTGCAGAGGCATGGGTGTGGCACAGGTGCTATGTGCGGGTGGTATTTGGTTCAGGGCTTTAAATCCGGTCTGAACATGGCCTCCCTTTATTAATTTACTATAGCTCAAGAAGTGCATGCTGATGACTCGCGAATGGAACATAGTGTAGTCAGTGTAGTTGCTTGACTTGGTAGTAGCAGTCGTGAAGGTTTGTTTGCCTGCCGAAAGCCCTAGACTCTAGACAAAACAAGCTCGTACCCTAAACCCTTATGCCTAACCTGCAGGTCCGGATTGATGAGCTTGGGTGCTTCGATTTGAAGCCGGACCTGGACTTTCTAGCAGCACGGCCGTTTTCAAAAGTTTTGTTCTGATACTTTTACGGTTTAAGTTTCAGATCTCCAGGCGGTCATGCCTAGCATGGACATAACTTCTGACACTTCGCAGCTTGCAGCGGGTTGAGCGGCTTCTGGCTTCGTGGTCCGTCTGCGGCCCTAAACCCTAAACCCTAAACCCTTCCCAGATTGTTAGACGCGCTAGCCCTCTCGTCGAACCTTGCCTGGGTATTCCCAGACTTGTACAAGGCCCCAAGCCCCCGAATTCTGAATCCTGAGACCTTGGTCCTTAGAAGACCAGGACCTCTACGGACGTTGCCTGGTGTTGTCAGAGATTGAGCGTCAACAAAATCCCTAGATGCTCCCCTAAACCCCAAAACCTTGTCCAGCGGAATCTATTCCGAACCCTGAAACCAAGCCTAAATCTTTAATCTTCATACCCTCAACTTTTTAAACTAACTCCGGAATAAATACTCCATGTACTACTTCCTTAAGCACTATCCCAGAACCCCAAACTACCTTTAAACTCGAACACTCCTTGCCATCCTGCAACCCCCTTCCGGCTATAGGAGCCGCATCCAGGGGCTTCAGGTTTAATGTAGGAACCTGATTAAGAAACCTTGGGCCTTTATTCGGGCTCCTTATGTGAATCCTGCTATTTTGGGGTTATAGGCTCAGGGTTTCTTAATCAGGTTCCTACATTAATACGGCTGTAGGGTTGTAGAGGTTTCAGCACTCACTCTCGGAGGGTGTAGAGGTTCTGCGTACCAGAGAGAGAGAGAGAGAGAGAGAGAGAGAGAGAGAGAGAGAGAGAGAGTTCTGTGTTGCTGCCCGTGTGAAGCCAGGCTAAAGAAGATCAGGACCCACCGCTTCAACTCTTTTGCTCTCTGCGCTGAAGTCGAGGCAGTCGACAAGCTTGTGAGTCGAGCTTTTTATTAACTGTATGGTACCATGTACCTTGGTTGCCACTTTGTCTGGCTTAGCTCGTCGCTGGACTCCAAAGAGCTTGCACGTCAGGCTGCAAGCCCGCCCGCAACCCTGCAGGGAGACGTCCCTTACAACACAGATGGCCTATGATTTTGATGTAACCATACCTCATCGGGGAACACCCCCGTTCCAACAGCTCTGGAATAACACCGATCGCACTTTATGTTTTCTACATATCCTGACTGTTGCTTTTCAGCCATTTTCCAGATGCTGAGGGCATGAGTCCGTCCATTTTGGACGCTAAGTGCCGTGGTGTGCGACCCTTCCCAAAATCTCCTCCGCAACAGTCGGGGGCGCTTGAGCGCGCGGTGTATAGGGGGTAACCCCTACACCATAGCCCTGACGAAAAAGAAAAAAGAGAGAGAGAGAGAGAGAGACACAGAGCGAGAGGCGAGAGGCGAGAAAGAGAGAGAGGCGGGCGGTCAGGCCTCTTTGTAGCCCGAAGCGAGCAAGCTAGAGACCGACAGCGAGAGACAGAGAGCGGGACGAAAACGGATCATACTCAATGAGAGGAGGTCCAAATAATAGGTAGATAAACAGACAGGTAGACAGGTCAACAGACAGGTGGAGAGATAGATAGATAGATAGGGAGATGAAGAGACAATATGGAGGGCCAGAGAGATACATAAAGAGATAGAGAGAGATAGAGAGAGAGAGAGAGAGAGAGAGAGAGAGAGAGGGAGAGAGAGAGAGAGAGAGGCAGAATGAAAGGGAACGTGGAACTGAGCGAAAGCGGCTGCCAGGGATTTCCAAGCGCAATTTGAGTTGTTACTGCCCCTACCTCGTCCCAGCTGTGCGTGCCACGTCAGACTGACGAAGTCCAGTGCACGATGGGACCCCTTGTTGCAATTTGCTCGTGCTGAAGAAAAAGCTGCGGAGTTCTTGTCCGAGCTCTATTTGTTTTTTTGATATGTCTTTCCAAAAACGGACAATCTGTCCGACCCAAAGAAGTCGAAAACCGGTAGATCGGTTCAATGATCAAAGTCTTGGTCTGCGGGGTTCTGCTGGAGTCGGTTCATCTGTCGTCTATACAGTAGTTACAGGAGGACCTGAGGTTAGTTCAAGCTTTGGAACGCACACGCGCTGCTCCAAGGACAAGCATTTCTCACGTGCTGGGACTTTCTCCGAGGACCAGATATCTTTGGGCAAAGGTTACGGTGCATGCATGTTAATGATCAGGACTAGACGGTGGATCTCTTTAACTGGCTGGACTCTTTATGTAGCACGATCCGCAGTTTGCTTCGCTGTATCCACGTGATGCGTAGGCAAGCGCAGCTACCTGGGCGCCATACTGTAGCAGACAGTGTCGCAAAACGTGGTATCAGAGGTAGTCAAGCAAGGCATGCAGCCCATGGTGATAGAACCAAATATCGAGTGTGCAGTACTGTTCCCTCATAGCTCCTCTATAAGTATACTAAACCACACTAGACTCTATACTGACATTATTGTTCCTATTACTTTTTCTATGCATGGTTGCTATCATTATCCAGGCCTCTATATTAGAACACTGGCCTTGAGCTTCAGGACCTCACCTTAGACGACATCCTTGCGAGCGCAGAATACAAAGCCTCGGACGGCCAACGCGATTTGGTCTTGTGCTGGGTTTAAGGGCTGAGTATAGGCTTTTCGGAGTTTCGGGTTTACGATATGGGGCTTTGGGGTTTATGATACAGAGTTTACGGTATAGGAGGGTATATAGGGTTTAGGATATGAAGTGTTTGTGCTTGGTATGGCTTGGATTTGGGATGTGGACTCCTGGGACGAGGGCGGATACTTGCAGAAGGCTGTGGACACAGTTTCTGAGACCCCGCTGCGAAGAGTTTGACCTGTAATATAGGGGCCTTAAAATTACCTATACTTTTTTTGGGGCTCGTTATTATAACTATACTTGGTATCATGGGCCCCAAACCCTATTCTATTTATTAAGGTCCATAACTTGAACTCTCGCTTTCCTCCGCCTGTTAAGCACAGGTCTTCAGAAAGCTGCCGCGATGCCCCAGAAATCCTGGTGAATTCGCATGTGGGAGTTTCCGAAAATTAGGGGTACCTTATTTTGGGGTCCTTAGAATAACGATCCTACTTTTTGGGGTGCTATATGAAGGTCCCTTATTTTCGGAAACTCCCATGTAGATGTGTAGGGAGAGCCGGTTGCCAGCATGACGAGTCCAGCTCCGAACCGTCGCACACCTGCCGCCACACCGAAGTGGGTGGGGTGGTTGTGAAAATTAGGGTCCCTTTTTGGGTCCTTATTATAATAAGGCACCTAATATTTAGGATACCCCAAAAAGGGACCATACTTTCGACAACCACCGAAGTAGCAGGAGCTGAAGTCGAAAGGCGGTCTTCATGGCTTGATGATTGACCCCTACAACTGCATCGCTTCGCATCTGCATTGGGCTGTTGGTTCGACCTTGGAACCCCCAGCTTGAATCACTTGAATATTTGAAAATTTTCAGCTTTGGGGTTGAGGCCCACTCCTCGCGACGGCTAGGTGCTGAAGGTGAAGGCGATAGTGCCAGTGCGCATAGTGCGTGTTGTTGTAGTCTTGGTGAAGATGAAGGCAACTATCATCAAGGTCATCGTCATCGACATGATGCATTGACGGTGATGTGCTGCTACGTAGTAGGGCTACCTACTGCCCCATGGCGCTGGAGACTACCATCAACGATGGCCTTGTGCGACCAGCAGAGAGGTGTTTGCATGGCTGCACTCGTAGTGGAAAACACTGTTAACAATCCCCATATACACCACGTTGTCCGTAGCTGCTATAACGCACAACATTGTCAAACCTTTCTGAGGAGATGCCCAGCGGATTTCAATCGGAGACTCAAGTCGTTAGCACGATGATGTCGAAGCTTCAGCAGCTGCTTGGCTTCGACCCAGGTTCGATGGTAGGATGGTCTAAAGACCTGTCGAAGCGCAGAACCTCCCAAAGCCGGCCAGCCTCGTATTCGTAAGCTGACAACGGAACCCTTTACCGGCTGCAATGCGAGGGTTGGAATTTAGGGCTTGCCATGTTGTCGCGTCCGGACGTGCTGAGTTGTTTACGATCTTCGGCTCGTGCTGCCAGCCATATATATAAGGCAAATCGCATGTGTCCTCCAAGTCGTTCTGCCGGGGAGATCGTCCCGCCACAAATCTTCCGACCATTAGCAAACAACGACGGTAGGTCCCGAATGCGAAATCCTTCGGCCAACCTGCATAACATGAAAGTCTGAAGCTTCGAACTTTGAGCTGTAGGACGTGTTGGGCGTGGTTGCTTTCTTGCATTTAAGACTATAGAAGAGCCTCGAAATATTATTCGGATTGTGGTTCTTCATCATCTTCAATGCCGCCGCCACGTATGGCGATTCCCCGGCAGAGATCATGAGCTGCGTAGCTTCAATACCTCATCTTGCCACCTAACCCACCCTGAACTCCAGTATGCGGCTCGTCAGGTTTGCGAAGCGGCACTCTTCGCACGTGTGGATCGTGGTCCATCCCACGAAGGGCTCGCAGCTCGCGGGCAACGAGCCGTCGATGTACGACTGTTCCGGCAGCGCGCACTGGCGCTTCGGCTTCGTAATGTGCTGTCCTACTCCCCCAAATTCGGGTTGCCGCCGAAAGGCTGGCCGCTCCGGTGTTGCTTACAGGGGGTTTGCGGATACTTTGCAAAAACACCGACAGCAGGACTGATGACTTCTAGCATGTTCTGCAACATTTACCCCACACCTCGATTTCTGGGCACGGCTGGTGCCGGAAAAAACGTCAAATGCAGGTCTTCGCAAATCAAGCCCTATCTAGAACCGCGACAAACTCTGCAGCTCAACTTGATGAACCCAACTCTGTTACCTTCGCCGTTTCTGTGTTGTTCTGGCTGACGGAGCTTCATCCCGAAGACCCCCGACAAGAGAGAGTAGCAATGATACCGTAGTCATGTTGATTATAGTTGTATCTGTGCATATATATATATATATAGAGATAATGAACGTATATGTGCACATGTATATCTGTCCAGTGTTTCAAACCCTCGCGGCAAAAGCCCAGTGGACCGCTGTCGCGAATTCAGATAGCGCCGTTAGCGGGGTGGGGGGGGTTCGTTCTCTCGGACTATTGAGGGGGGGGGGGGGGGTCCTTTCTCCAGGAGTAATTGAGGGGGGGGGGTTCTTAATGCGGGAGTATTGAGGGGACGGGAGGGGGGTCCATACTCCAGGAGTATTGAGGGGGGGAAGGGGTTCATACTTCAGGAGTATTGAGGGGGGGGGGTCTATTCCAAGACTATTGAGGGGGGGGGGACTCGTACTCTTGGGGAGGGGGGGGTCTCTTTGGGAATGGTTGTTGTAGTATTTTGTCGGGTGAGGAAGAAGGAGCAGGAGAAGGAGTAGTAGTAGTAGTAGTAGTAGTAGTAGTAGTAGTAGTAGTAGTAGTAGTAGTAGTAGTAGTAGTAGTAGTAGTAGTAGTAGTAGTAGTAGTAGTAGTAATAGTAGTAATAGTAGTAGTAGTAGCCTTCGTTGTTGTTCCCTCCCTCTTGAAAGAACAACAACCCCACCTCCGCTTGTTGTTCCCCGCATTCTTAAGAAAACAACACCCCTTCCCGGGTTGTCGTTCTTACCCTTCCCTTCCCCTTTTGCAAACCTGCCAAATGATTCCTGCTCAGTTGTGTTTCCTTGCTTTTCAACCCCTGAAGTGTTTGCATGTGGCTCTTTCCTTCTTGTGTTGACGAACGCTTTTTTTCCTGGCGGCTCGAAACAAGGGGGGGTTGAGCCTAAGACAAGCGGGGGGGTTGGGGGGGGGGCGCAGCCCCTCCCATTTGCAAGCCTTCCATCGTCATGATAAACTGTACTTGCTTGCTTTAGCCCCCCTAATGCGTTTGCATGTGGCTCTGTCCTTCTTGTGTTTTGGCGAACACGCTCCTACAACGCTGTTGTTGTCCTTCTTCGAACTTGACCCCCCCCTCCATATTGGAATATAACCCCCCCTCCATACTGCTGGACTATGAATCTTCCCCTCCTGGACCATGACCCCCCCCCTCTTAATACTCCTGGAGTATGAATCCCCCCCCCTCCTTGAATGATCCTGGACTACGAACCTCCCCCCCCCCCCCCAAATACTCCTGGAGTATGAACCCCCCCCCTGTGCCGATACACCCCCAAGGGATACTCCTTGTGAGGAGGTGTATGACCAGTTATTCCCTAAGGATCAAAGGGCAGCGCCCTGCACACGGACAGTAGTTGTTTTGTCTTGCTACGCAAGGAGAGCTTGTCTTGTCTCAATATGGTAAAACCACTGTGAGCCAATGGGCAGCGGAATGTATATGTATGAGCATGCAGCCATTGCTGTAGGTACCTGTTAGAGCTACCCCTTTAGAGGTTTATGGTTTCAAACAGACACTAATTTTCTTTTACCGGAAGCATGGCCGCACATTCACACATATACTATTATGCCCACTGTCACAGTTGCGGAGTTTGGACTCATGATAAAAACAGCATATTGTTTATGCTAGGTATAGCACTGAAGTACACTGTTGAGGTCACTCCTTTTGCACACACTCATGCATGTTGGTCAGAGAGATCATCTGTACAGGATCAGGTCTGGTAATGTTCTTCTACCGAATTATGCAGCCCTTCATTGTGCTCTTGTTAGAGCCTTGTGATTCACTGTTGTGAAACTCTGAGAATTTTCTTATCTCAGATTCGGATCCAGGTTTGGATCATAGGCTCGAGCATAGACGTTCGGATGTGGCTCATCCGGGTCTGAGTGATCTTCTTCGGAACTTGAAAAGATTCCGAGTAATCTGTTCTCAGCCCTGGTGAAGGCGGCGTCTGCAGTATCATATCCATGGTTGGATGTTGTCGCCTTTGGCTCGGCCTTTGGAGCAGCTTGTGAGCTGGCTGGAGTTGCCTTGGCTTTTGCCGGTTGCGGCTGCTTAGCCTTTGCCCGTTCAGCCCTTCTTCTTTCAAGCTGTCCGTCTGAGGACGCCCATGATCTTTCACTTTCATCTCCTGAAGGAGATAAGGCGTGGGCATAAAGGCTATTCCAGTACTTGTGCTGCAGAAGGAGTTAGGACTTCTTCATTGTCAGATTCTGACTGGTCTTCCTCAGAGCTTTGGTCGTCAAAAAGTGTCTCGAGGACATTTTTGAGATTGTTATTTCTTCGCTCTATCTCTAGTGAGGAATGGACCAATTGGTTAAAGACTGTCCTTGAGTCCTTCAGTGCTGTTAGAAGGATTTCCACTCTGGATAGAGTATCTTGGATGGTGTCAAGATGTTCCTTCCTTTCCTCCTTGTCTCTCTGGATAGAGCTTCGCAATGATTGTGCGATTCTGAGGAGGTCTGTGTATTTCGCAAGAGGCATAGTTACCGTTTGATTGTCATGTATGACAGTTGTTTCGTCGCCGCTTAAGTTCCTGAATAGGACTTCCACGACTGGTAGGAACTCCGTGCTCCACGGTTCCTCTTCATCATATGTTTCTACGTGCTGTAGCACGCGTTGTGTAAACTGGCCGGCTGCTTCTACCGTTGCATCGATAGAGCTGACGTGTCTTGCTGCCATGTTTCGGCACGTAACGTTAATTGCCTGGCCTTGATTGGCTTCGTTAAGTGCAGCGTCTGCATAGGTGCAGAGTCCACTGTTGTGGGCTTCTCTAGCTGCCTTTCGTTGAATGCGCCGATTTTGACCTCCTCTTCTGGTAGGACCTTTTGGTCTTGGAGGATCAGAAGGTACTGTTCCTTTCGCCTTTGGCGGAGGACTCTTAGGTGGAGGTGATATGTTTGCCTTGTTAGGCCCTGGTGGCATTGCCTTGGGCGCTGATGACGATGCGGCACTTGAGAGTGCAGATGTACCTCTGGCCTTTGCCGAGGATCCCTTGGGGATCGATGTATAGGTAATCTGCATGGCTTCTTCGGCCATTTGTGCATGCAAGGCATCTTTGAATAATTGTGTCATATGAGGAGTGTTACTTGCATCATCGTAGGTCTGGAAGCGCTCAATGTCTCTTTCGGTGCCACGTGGTCGTGTATCACCTCTTTGGAAAGGATCGTTCCTGCGAATCTCCGCAACTTGTACTGCATGGAGGCAGTTTTTGCACAGCACCTTCTTGCAAACATCTCTTGCTTGCTTGAGCTGGTAACAGCTGTCTGAGAGATGGTAGACTTCGCTTCGGGAAGTATGCCAGATAGGTCGCAGATCAGTTGTTTCTCCGGAATTGACCCTGTTGGGTCCTAAAGGTTCACGCGTCTGCGGTTCATCCTCGGGTTCGAGGAATGGAACTCTTTGGTTCGCTGCTGCTTTTGATTTTGGTTGTTGGCGCTCCATACATCTGATAGGAGGCCTGGTAATCTGCTTCCACATCCAGTGTAAGCCCATTAGCAGCAAGAACACATTCCATGCGATGCTGAAGACGGAGAAGTCCTGCTCACTGGTTAGTGAGTTTGGAAGTGAAGTTTCATCAGTCTTGATAGACTCTGCGTTTGCTCCACCTCGGTTGCGGTGTCCGAACCAGCCCGACAATCCCGCTGCTGTAGCAGCTGTTCTGAGTGCCTTGCCGCTCGGAGCAGACGGTGGACGCGATGCCTTCCTTCTTCTTCTCCGGCTGGAGGATTCGTCCTCTTGTTCCTCTTCATCTCTCTGAGCAGACATCAAGTTTGATGTTTCTCTTTCGTGTTCTTCGATGTCACTTTTTGTTGGTGACGGTTCTTCTTCTAGTCCATCCAGCTCTTCCAAAGACATGTTGAGCTTGTCAACAATATTGGTTCTTTGAGGCCTGGACCTTGATCTTGGTAGATCTTGTTGTGAAGAGGACGATGATTCCTGGTTCCTTCTTGGAGGAGGACCTTCAGGCTCGCTGGGACGTTCAGGCTGTGGCCACTCCCAGAATCTTCCATATCTGTGATGGCTACCTGATGGTTGCGATTTGTCGTACCAGCTGTTGCCGGATGAGTAAACGAATGAATCGTTGTAACCCCAGTATTCAGCATTACGCTGCTTGTAAGCCTTTCGCTTGTCAGCGATCTTTTGGACCTGGGCATCTGACCGGTTGTGTTTCCCTTTTGTAAGGATTGGTTGTATCGTGAAGCCCAAAGGGCTGTGCCAATCTTTGTCAGAGGGACTCAACCATAGGTCAAGGTTAGAAAAAGTTGAATAGTACTGCTTGACTGAGACAAACAGACGGATATCAATATCCCTGTTGTTGTTCGTGTCCTGCCACATATCTGAGATTCGTTCCCAGTATGTTCTTTCGGCGGCAGGTGTGACCTCTCTTGGACTAGGTGACGCCGTGTGCGGCGTTTTACTCCAGTCAAGGATATAACTGTTGATACAGTCAAGGTCAGCAACTTTCTTCGCCGGGTCCGCCGGTAGACGATCTGCACGTGCCAGTCTGTGCTGGTCGGAGTTGTTCAAGCAAAGATGTCGCACTTGTGAGTGCCTTCCTGCTATTTTGTTGAATGCTGCAAGTTTCTTCTCCAGGTATAGAGAAAACAAACTGTTTCGCGGGTGAACGTCTCCACCTTTTAAGGTGAGCCTCGACGCAATATTATTGAGATCTCCCGCTATTACATCCGGTTTAAA